CGAAGCCACTCCTTTCATTTAGGCTTTCATTTAGGGAGGAGATGCCTTCGAAGTAGTGACAGCTCAATCAAAACATTTGTGGAAACATGGACTCATTGGGCAGGTTCACCACAAGAAATTCAACATGATGAAGCAGGAGAGTTCGTGTGCAAAGAGAAAGTGTTCGAACCATTAAGTGCAGCACCATGGCAAAGAGGTCGAATCGAAAGACATGGAGGAGTCATCAAGGAAATGCTCAGTCGTAAAGATAAAGAGAACCCAATTCTAACAAAGAAGCAATTCGACTTTGCCTTGAATCAATGCTTTCAAGCCAAGAACAGTTTAAGGGTTGTACATGGATACAGCCCTGAACAGGCAGTCCTCGGCAGAACCAGACGTTTGCCAGCATCCATATGTGGAGATGAGGATTTTACAGCTCATTCCATAGACAATCCCAGTGGTACTAGGTCAGAAAAATTCTTGCAGCAAATGCAGATTCGGACATTAGCCAGAAAAGCCCTTTTGGATGCCGACAATAGTCAAGCCATTCGCAGAGCCCTCAATCGCCAATCCCGAGGACAAGAGCATCCTTGGAGATGTGGTGAATTATGTATGGTGTGGGATAAGAGGAAACCCCCGAACATGCTTGAGAAGGGACGATGGACTGGACCCTGCCAGATTGTCATGGAAGAAAACAGGACCATAGTCTGGGTCACTCACATGAATCGATTGCTTCGGGTTGCTCGTGAAAACCTTCGACCGGTATCAATTGGAGAATTCCACAAAGTTGCCATATTCCATCAAAGTTGTGATGAAAAACGATTGCAAGAAATGGCAAGTCAATTAAAAACGCAATTGAAAGAAAGACGTGGCATGTTTCAATTCTCCGACTTCACAGAAGGGGAAAGCCCAGATGCTCCACCAACCAACCAAGGTAATGGAATCCAACCAGAAGAAGAACCACACAGAAGAAATTCAGAAGCAGAGGCAGAATTGAACCCAACTCCCATGACCGCAAAGGCAGGAGGGCCAGTTTCCTCCTCAGAGAATGTTCGAAACTTGCAGCCGGCCACCGGCGATGCCAGGAATGATCGTGTGGGGGAACGTGATCATACAAACGAAGGGGAACCACCAATGGAATCACCCGGGGATTCATTGGAAAATGCAAATTCAATAGAGCCATTATACAATATATAATATATACAATGTGGGCATTGTAGAAGCTAATGACCCAGATGCTGCCACAGTGAATGACAATGGAACATTGTGGTCAGTAGATGAAGACATTCCAATTGAGAATGCTAAATTTTGCATGTTCGAAATAGAAGTGCCAACCAAATATCTGACAAAATTTTGTGTTTGTCCCTGCCTTCATGTCGACAAAGTTGCTAAAGCAGCCAAGAAGAACCATGTAGAAGTCCAGTATCGGAAATTGAGTGATACTGAACAGAAGGAATTTGATCAAGCCAAAGGAAAGGAATTAGGATGTTGGATAGAAACATCGTCCATTGAGCCAATCCTTCGAGATCGCATTCATCCATCGCGGATCATGTCAAGATGGATATTGACTTGGAAGACCGATCCTTCATCCCCAAAGGGTCGAAAAGCGAAAGCTCGTTTAGTAGTGAGAGGGTTTGAGGACCCAAATGCAGCGACGGTGAGCACGGAGTCACCCACGACGCATGATCATTCTTCAGGAAGTCAGCAGCCACCAGTGAACACTGCAAAGCTTTGACATCCGAACTCCTTTTTTACGAGGAAAGTCTGATCATAGAGAACTAGCAATGCATCCTGTCCCAGAACTGCAAAAGATGCCTGGGTTAAAATTGAATGAAGTTTGCCTGTTGAAAGGTAATGCATACGGCCGAGTTGACGCCCCAATTTTGTTTTACAAAGAGTTTCGTAAAACTTTAGAAGCAGCCGGATTCGAAGCACATCCCCTAGATGCATGCCTGTTTATGTTGAGAAACAAGCACGATCCAAGTAAATTGGAAGGGATACTAGGCACGCACGTCGACGACGGAATCGGAGGCGGTACAGAGGTCTTCGAAAGAGCTTTAGAAAAGATTCAACAGCATCTTCCATTCGGACAGAAGGAATACAAAAGGTTTAGGTTGACAGGGCTTGATATTGAACAATATCCCGATTATTTGATCAAAGTCAGTCATGCCGAATACATTCAGAAAATAGACCCAATTGATATTCCCAAGCCGAGAAGAAAGGATCGAGATTCAGAAGTGACACCCACTGAATTACAACAATTAAGAGCCCTTTGCGGTAGCCTCCAATATGCTGCAGTGCATTCAAGGCCGGATTTGACAGCCAAGGTAGCTTTCTTGCAGAAGCGCATACCCAAAGCCACAGTGTCCAACTTAATGGAAGGAAACAAGATACTAAGAGAAGCAAAGAACACGGCTGAAACATCAATTCTCGTGCAGCCCATTCCTGTGGACAAAGTGACTTTGCAAGTTTTGGTGATGCTAGCTTCGCGTCCGAACATCAGCTTCGGGCACAGCAAGGGTTATTTGTTCTTTCAACCACTGAAAAGAATGAGGTGTCAGAAAACCATCCTCTAGCATGGGGATCCAAACAAATTGCAAGGGTTGTTCGATCCACATTGAGTGCAGAGGCCTATGCAATGTCCAGTTCACTTGACAAGTAAACTTGGGTAATGTTGGATCACGATTAGTAAAGGGGACTTCTATAATGCTAAATTTTTCCAAAATTATTCAGACCCCCCTGTTTGAAAAATGGTACCTCTATAATGCTAATGTTTTTTTTGGCCCAAAATTTTTTTGGCCCAAAATTTTTAAATTGGAAACCCAATTAATGAGGGTTTGAATTCCTTCTGAACCCTGTCCACCTGCACTCCCCCCCCCTTCCTTCTGAACCCAATTAAACCCTTTATAAAACATTGCTCCTAAACAAATTGTCAAGGTAGTAGACCAGGAAGGCACCTGATCCTCAATAATAAATTTGTTTTTGGGACCTCAATTGTGGAAAGTTTTTTTCCACTGGAAAAAATGCACATGGAATCTCCCTTTACT